GACATGAAAAAACTTTTAATTTTACTATGTATTGTTATTATTAAATAACGTAATATATACCCACTATTATACATATTCTTATATTTAAGTAATCTCTGTTCCCAGGAGGTTGGTGTGTAAATGGGGCTTTATTTAGGAACCTATTTTTCTTTCTTTCCACACACTATTAATAATTTGATAAAATCAATTTCGCAAATATTTAATTGATTTTTTCAATTATTTTTTATTTTTAATAAAAATAAAATTAAATTAAATGTTAAAAATTTATCTCATTTGCTTCGGTAAATTATAGCGTTTGATGAAAAACAACTATGACCAATTGATGCAACACTGGGTGGTATGTTGACACTAATTAGACTACTACAATTACCAAAACACCAATCACCAATAGATGTCACACTTGATGGTATTGAAATGCTGCTCAGACTACTGCATCCACAGAAACAATATATACCAATTGACGTCACACTATATGGTATTGTAACACTGCTCAAACTACTGCATCCACTGAAACAGTGAATACCAAGAGTTCTAACACCAAATGGTATTGTAACACTGCTCAGATTTCTAGAACAACTGAAACAACCATCACCAATAAATGTAACATTTGATGGTATGTTGACACAACTCAAACTACTGCATTTATAGAAACAATCATTACCAATTGATTTAACAATTGATGGTATGTTATTACCAAATTTCTCTCTATCGTTTTTAGTGTAAGTGACATTTTTAAATTCGATGTTTCGATTTTTGTTTCTATCAACAGTTTCGAAATCAACATTGAACCACACAATGATTCGATAAAACTTTTTCTTTGAAACAATTTTATTTTCTTCTATGTTGGTTATAAATCCGTTGCCAAAGTTTTCATCCATTACATTCCATAAGTGAAGTGTCTCGATTTTTGGGAAGTAATTAATTGTTTTGGAATTTAATGGAATTGGGTTGAAGTGAAACTTCTCCATATTACCACCAAACTTCTTGCATACCAACTCCAAGTTAATAAAGTCGTTGATAGTTTTAAAATACTTTGAAACTATCATGATGTGATACCCAGAAAGTCCACACATTTTGATAATCACAGTTTTCGTTGTATAAATATTTTACAATTTGTTTTTCCAAACAATTTTAAATTATTACAGTCTGCCGAATCAACCTTTTGCAACGAAACAGCCTTTTGCAGATTGTTTTCAAAAATAACGATAATTAATAATATTTTAACCATTTTAATGGTTTTTTATTAGCCCAATTTTAGACTGCAGAAGGTGAAATTTCAAATCTTTATGTAAAAAATATAATTATTTGAAATTAAAAAAAATACCATCTAAAATTCACCACAAATATAATTGTAATTGTTATTAAGAAAATATGATAAAATTATTGTATTTTATTAAAAACACAATTAAAATAATTAAAATGACAATTGAATAATTATTAAAATTCAATTGATACGAAAATAACTTTGTTTTATTGTTAAATTTTTTTTCTGCCTCTGATTGGTGATCCTGGTGTTTATGAAACAAATGTTATTGAATGGATAGAGAAAGACATTCCTTTAAAATTACAGTACAAAGTCATTGCACTTGTAATGGGTGCGCTGAATGCTGGTAACAGTACATTTTGAACAGCAACTAAAGGCTGTTTTGAAAAAAGGTGAAAGAGTCTAATATCCTTATAATTCTGTTAATTAATATAATCACATTATTTTAGATGCCGGTGCAACAAGAGAGAGTGTGTGTGATAAATGTGGCAAATATATGACAAATGTTTTCAAGAGGGGAGTTGTGGAGCATTGGAAAAAACCTTACAGTTGAGAGATAATTCCAACAGGTCTACATCATTGAGCGAAGGTCACACTCCGTCATCATGAGAGTCGTATGAAAGCCACTCTGGATTGACAATCACTGACTCGGCTCTTGTTACAGCGAAGAGTTCAAGACGCTTGCGCAGCAAATCGGAGACATGAAACACAAAAATGAGATAACAAGAGATTTTGAGGTTGTCGCAGTATTGAAGTATTATTCAATTTTAAAGGTAAAAACAACTCGCAGAATAAAAGAGACATCAATGCTGTCGTTGCAATTGATACCAATAGTTAATTAAGGTGACATTTTATTGATTCAACTAAATACAACAGTTAAAACAAGAAATTTTTGTTTAAAAAGATCAGTTTGTATGTGGTAATAGAAATAAATAATAAAAACAAAGATGGTTGATTGTTGAAATGTTTATAAAAAGATTTTGACATCTCTGTATGTTTCAACAACTTACGGTCACAAGAGACTATTGTTTATTTTTTGTTGATTTACGATAGTAAAAATTACGACACTTTCAACTTTCATCATTTTATATTGAGATTATATGTTTATTGAAGTCTTAAAGTGGTCTAATTTGAATGAAAATATACTGAAACGTGAAGTTTTGCACGTTTCAGTAAAATGTTTTTAAAAAACATTTTAAACGGATTAAAATGTTTTTAATCTGTTTATCGTTGTATCCATTTTACGCGAAATTGTTAATGCATCTTATAATTGTTGAGTATTTTTAGTTAAATCTCAGATAACTTATTACATCTTTTCTTTTTTTTTATTTTTCATATACGATTTTGAATTTAAATCAGTCATTTATTTATGACCATTTTTTTCGAATTTTTTAATGGGTTATTTATTTATTTGGTTTTTAAAAAAACCAAATAATAAAGTTTGGTTTTTTTAATAACCAAACTTTATTATTTGGTTATTAATAAAAAGACAAAAATCCTTTTTATAATATTTACCTGTTAATACATCAAACTACAAAATTATTACTATATATTTTAATAAGTTTGAAATTTTTTATCAACATATAAACTTACTATAATTATTTCAGTTATTATCCATTTACTTTTTTAATATTTTTAAAACGTTTATTATTAAAATAAAACATTTAAATAAAATTTGGATTATCAATTTAAAGGAAAAAGATCATCACCAAAACAAATATAAACGAATATATTTGCGAGTCGTTCGACGAATCTTGTTTTTCTTTGACACAACGTATTTTTTCAGTTTGGACATATCCCTCTTTACACTTTAAAAATTCACATTCATCCAAATTAAAAATTCCTTTTACACACTTTGAAATCATAATTTCTCCTTCTTTGGTATTCTTGCATTCATCAGTTTCTAATATTGTTCCTTCTTTACACTTTGGAACATCTGCACAATTCCCATTGTCGATAATATTAAATCCAGGTTTACATTTCACAAACACGCACTTTGTATTGTCAAATTTTCCATTAACACATGTTGCTGCCCAAATTTCCTTCTCACTTGTTTTATCACATTTTATGTCCACTTTTGTTTCTCCATTTTTGCATTCTGGTTTGGGTTTTTCATTTTTTTCACAAACACCCGTTTTTGAATTAAGAGTGTAACCAATTTTACAAGTTATAAAAATGCAATTTGATATGTCCAATTTGTTGTTCACACATTTTATACCCCAACTTTCTCCTGTAGAAGTTTTGGGGCATTGTGAATTTTCAATGACTTTATCTGTGTTTTCACACTGTTTTATAAAACAAATGTTGTTTGCTGAATCTCTTATATATCCATTATTGCATTTAATAAACACACAATTATTAACAGGATATTCTCCATTGACACATTTAATCCCCCAAATCTCACTAATTGAATTTTGTTTACACGTACTATTTTGTGTCAGAGTGCCATCAACACAACTTGGTGAATACTTTTTCATTAACATCACTGCTTTCTCTAAAAATTTGTCCACTGTTTGTGCGTCTTCATAAAAGTCATCTATTTCAATGTAATCATATGGTTCATAAATTTTATATTCATTTGGTACCATATCATTATCATTTAAAGGTAATGTTGGCAAGAAAGACAATTGTAAAGTAAGTCCTTGATCACTCAACACTTTTTCTTTATTGTTGTGAATGTATTTATCTTGAATTATACCAGTTGGACTTTCGCCCACTGTTCTCAATTTTGATGTTGGAAGACCCGCATACGTCGCGACAATTGCTGCCTTCTTGTCAATTAAATGATTAGTAAAAAGTGAGCAAGCAGAGTAACAAAAGTGGTCTGAAAAAACAACAATTTGATTCCATTTTCTTACGATCTTCGGTGTGTAATATTTTACGTTATTAATAACCAAATATGAAGAGAGTGTATGAGTGAAACTAACAGTGCCATATCTTTCACTTTGTGGTTTATCATACCAATCACCCATTTCACCACCATAAACGTATGGGGATTTTTGAAATCTTGGTTTTCTTGTGATTGGATCTATCAACTGATAACCATATCCATTTCTTAATATTTGCTCGGATGAATTGTGAATTCGAACAACACTTCTTTTATCATAGTTTGTTGCTGGGGAAATCATTTTATAAAGGAAATCTTCTGCACCAATAAAACCACCTGCATTCATTGGAAAAAATATTACAATGGGGTCGTTGTTTGTATCAAATAGTTCTGCACATTTCGTTGCTAAATCGATGAAATCCGATAGTTTTTTTGATGTAAACGAATTTACTGTTAATATATTATAAAACTGAGACTTATACGGACGATGTCCACATGATATCACACCATTTAAAGAATATTTGTATAACTCTCCACTTTTCTTTTGTGTAACAAACAAATCATTTGTAATCACATCAATACCTCCAAACAATATTTGGTCAGTGTTTCTGATTATTCTTTCATTGATTTCTTCGTTGTATTTATTCAACATTTCGCTTGCCTTCTTTTCAGAATCAGTAATAAGACCGGCTTTTGGGTTTTGATTAAACAACTTGGAATTAAATGTGATTTCGCTGTTATCAGCAAAAGTTAACTTAAAAGAAGTATCTTTTAATTCAATTGGAATTTTGTAATAAGGAATTAATGGAAATGCCCTTTTCAAATAAGTTACAACACCGTTTTCGTTTTTAAGTATGAAATATTTATTAGCATAATCTTTAATAAACTTGACAGCTTCAATGTTATTTATTTTTATAAGTTCTACTCCAATTTTGGTTTTCAATTTGTTGATTAAATCTCTTCCGAAAA